CTGCCCGAGAATAAATACGAAGTCAGGTTTGCTTCTGTTTAGCAGATGCGTGAAGTGAACGCGATATTACAGAGAAGGGGAAAGATGAACACATGAAAGACACGGCCGAGTGCTAGCGCAGTGACCACAGAGCTAGTCGCTCTGCTGGTTTCTAGAATACAAGCCTGTGCAGCTTTGACATTTAGGTGCTCTCCCAGGGCTCTCCAAGGTCTAATAAAGTCAGCCACGCTGTACCCTTCTCCCAAAAGGCTCCCACAGGAGAGGCAGCAGCCACTACCTGCCAGCTCCGGCAGCACAGACCACTGTGTGATGTGCTCCCATCATCCTGGGGTGCAGAGCAGCTCACCTGACAGCATTTCAGACAGCCGAGGCCGTTTGAGCCCTGACACTTACATCAAACTTCTGTCGAACTGAAGAAATCTTCTTCTTTCCTTTGGGTTTTCCAGGTTTAGTTGCAGAGCCACCTGGCCACGGCAGAGATCCAGCACCTTCTACAAAATGAAAAGAAAAAAATCTTGACAGGCATCACTGCTTTAGAGCCAGAGTAATGCTGCCCGTGCAGAAAAGCCTTAACATTTGGCCCCCAGCTAAGCCTCAACCCAAATCCAACAGCCACGAGAAGTAATTCTTGTGAGAGGTTTCTTTTGGCAAGCCCCCCCTCCCTTTGGCAGCCCCTTTTCAGCCCTACTCGCTGCAGCTCTGGGCTGTATCCCTCACATCCTCACCCCTGGCAGCACCCTAACAGATAACCCTGTACTGGGTCTGGCAAAACCACCACAAACCCACAGCCACGACCCGAAGTCAGGAGTGTGTTGGGAGGAACACTCATGGCAGCCTTTCCTTTGTCAGCCCCTTGCCAGCCCGACTTGCTCACCACCTGTTACTTAAAGCAGAAATTTCTGGCCACACACCACAAAAACCAACGGTGGAAGGAGAGATGAGCACAGGCTCCAAGAAAAGCCACGCTGCAGGACCGAGCCGTGAGCTCCACCAGGAAGGTGGCACGGGGCTGCCTGGAGCTCTACAACCAGCTCTGGCCACAAGCTGGATGCTTCTGGTCACCACCTGATCCCCTGCGCCTGCCTTTACAGTTTTTTCTCAACTTTAGCAAGCTTTGCCTCAGGTATTAGTTAGGTGTTGAGGATCGGTTGTTCACCTCACACTGAAGGAGAAAGGAGAGGGGGAAAGGAACTGCAAAGGCTGCTGAGGCCAGGAACCAGCAACACCTGTGTGCACAGTGCAAGCAGCTGCAGACAGGACAGAGCGAGCAGCACCTCACCTAACTAAGCCTAACAGAAGGGCCCCGTGTGCTGTTGGGCAGCTAAAGCCCCTCCTGAAAGGCCCCCCGGCTGCTTCCCTACCTCCAGGCTCACAGCACCCATGCACAGCTCCTCAGCACAGCGCCGGGCCGGACTCGCTCGCTGAGAGCCACCAAGGAGCGCTCCCCGCAGCCTCGGGTCTGGACAGCCCCCTTGTGGCTGCCAACAACCTCTGCTTCACGGCTCTGGGTTCAGCACAGGACCAGCACCGGTTTTATTTGCTGTAATCAGGGATTTGTAAATATAATTACACTACAGTTTATGGGAAACGAGGCTACTGGAAGCCCTCGGTCACGCGTCGCTTCACGTGCATCACCGCAGCAGTTCCTGACAAAGGGCTTTAAGGATCAGGCTAAAGCAGAGGAATCAGGTGAAGTTTATGAAGTTTTAACTGTTAAAAAGAGGTTAGAAGCAACCCATGCACAGGGATGGCATTTTCTATTAAAAAAATCACTATAAAGTTTCCCTACAGCCTATCAGGGAGCTGAAAGCCAGCAGCCAGTTACAGGGCAGGGCAACACGTAGGCATTCTCTGGAAATCAAAGCTCGTGTCGCTGTTCATCACTGCAACACTGCACCAGAGACCCTAACGAGGGGATGTGAGAAAACACCACGGACAAGCACATCAAGGATCTCTCCCGCCCTTCACAGAAGTCTCAGGACTTGCATTTTAGGATCTACCAAAGATATCGCTTCTGCTCTCACGAGATGTTCTGCCCTTTAGAGACAAGTCATTTTTTCCCCTCCTCCTCTCGTCCACAAGCAGAGCAGACCCCTTGGGCAGGGAGGGAGGGCTGGGTGCATCCAGGACAGACATTTTAAAGCTTCCAACAAAAAACAAATCTCTACTTTGTGAGCTTACCCCACTCCACAGCCCTTCCTCCTTGCCAGGAGTATCCTCAAAGTATCCTCAGCTAACTGTGTGACTGGAGGGCAGAGGGAGAAAGAGACCAAAGCAGCAAATAACCTTCTGTCTGACAACATATTACACGCTAATAGGTTACAGCAGAGGCCAAACTTTAAAAATGCCTTTTAAAAAAAAAAAAAAAAAGAAACGAGTAAGTTTCAAACTAAACAGCTACTGAATTCAGTCTCTGGCAGTAGGCCTGGAAGATGATCTTAGTGGACTCGCAGCCTGTAACAAAAGCTTGGCCAGACTCAGAACAAACAGGTGACACACCGTCACCTATCCCCCCGTTATAAAGAGCCTAGGGCAAAAATCTTTTGTTTTTGTCTCCTTAGCTAGCTTTTCATATCAACAAGCCTAACTAGCACTAAATGAAGACAGCAAAAATTCCCTCCAGTGTTCTAAGAAACCCGGTATATGCTTTCCTGGCCACAAATGACAAGGCTGGGTTGGCTCAGGCATGAAATTTCAGAGGTGTTAGCAATTTTTTTTTTTATTTAATCTCGATAGCACGAAAATTAATGTTAGCAAGCCATGCCAACAACTGCTGATAAGCCTTCAAAGATAAGGAACAGATAAGAATGTTTTTCTCTGATTTGCCTCGTCTCTCTTCTCGGCACCCAGAGCACCAGACAGTGGAGGCAGCTTACGTCAGGTTTTCCTGAGTGCTGCACCAGGACAGGAAGAAAGGACCAAGACAAAGCCACGACAGAGAAGAACGGGCAGAAAATAAATGTGTTCCCCATTTCACAGCCCCCATTCATTTGATTTTCTTTTTTTTTTCTTTTTTTTTTTCCTCATGTGTGTTTGTTTTTTTAATTTTTAATCTTCTTGCAAGGTCAGGGGCTGGGCCAAGCACCAAGCACTGTCCCTGTGGTTACAGCTCACGCTCCCGTTTTCTTCCTTCTCCTCCCTTTTCAGCTCTCTGGACCATGAGCAAGCTGAAGCTATCCCTCAGGAGTGGCAGCCCTTCCAGCAAAGCCTGGGGCAACCCTGGGGTAATGACAGGCTGCTGCTACCCTGGCAAGAGGCCTAATTCTCTGACCCATCTCTTTGTCAGCTCAGTACTGCTATGAATTAAATTACATCCTTACATCATTAACTCGAGTGCTTGCACTGCCTGTGCCTTACTCTGTTAACGTTTAGCTAAGAAATGAGGTAACAGTTCAAGTGAGATTAACTCCAGGGCCCTGCTAACTTACTGCTTGCGTTCACCCAGCAAACAAGGCGGGCTTGGCAAGCAAGTCCACGTGAGGTTAGGAAAGGCTTTGGACTGGGTTTCCTTGACAGAATTTCTTTGGGGAAGACAGACAACCAAAAAGCCCTTCTGAACAGAAAACGGAGACAAAGCAGTCTCCCGCACCGCTCAGGTTGGCACTACCAACCTCAAACCAACCTAGAGGCGCTTTCTGGTGGTTTCGAGGGTACATTTTGGGACCTTCCTCTCCCTCTCCAGGTACATTCCCAGCCCTGTTACAACTGGGTGCCACTCAGGTATTTAAGGGAATCTTCCCACAGGGTGCTGATGATGAAACATCACCACCCGTTTTTAAGGCCAACAAGTCAGATTTAGGATCCTGCTGCATCCTCAGGGTGAGCTGAGCAGGAGTGAAAGGAACTGGTCATGCTTCATATCCAGACAGCCACGAACCTTCCTCCCACTCCACCAAGTCCCAAACATCCACAGGGTGCTGAAGTGGGACTTGAAGGTCGCACGACCAGGAGCCTAACCAGGTGGAAGGGAAAAGTGTTCCCACAAAGGGCTACGGTCACCCAGTGCTCACCAAGCCCAGGTAGAAACAATAATAAGGCAAAATTTGGATCAGGTGTAGCTCGTTTGCATGGCTCAACTCAGTTTCTCTCCTTCAGAACACCCTCCTGCAAGGTTTCCCGTTCCAAATGGGAGTCACACAAACCTGAAACACTAGCCACGTGACTTATATTTTTAAACACGAGGTAGTATTTTAAAGATGTTTATCCCCCCCTCGTCCCTCCCACGTGAAGGTGGAAAGTACACTTGCTTGTACTTGTCTCCATAAATCATAAACACCTTGTACCAAGAGGCAGGGTACAGATAAGAGCCCGTTACCTTTCCATTCCTGCACAGAAAAAAATAAGTGTCAGACTGGCAGCTAGGGGGAGAGCAGTAAATCCAGGCGCAACATCTCTCGTTCCGTTTGTGCTGTGCCTCCCTGGGTTTGCAGGTACAGCAACACGCAGCAGGCTGGCCCACAAAACACCCGTGGGACATCTGCAGGTGGCCCAGGCTGAGGCGTCTCAGCACCAGGCAGCCCCAAAGTTCTTGGAAGAGTCTGCATCGCCCTGAGCTGAGCAAAACAAACCCTACAAGGAACGTAACGTTACCTGCAGGGTGCCAATACATGCTTTTAAGAGCACACACGATCAGTTTTTCAAGTTGCCCTCCAGGGACAAGAGGAAAAGTCCCTGCAGGGACTTGAAATTAAAAGGTATTAAGGTAGGAAGCAATAATGAGCATAAGGAAGGTGCCTGTGGAGGATGAGCCCCAGCACAAGGCAGCAAGACACTTTTAACCTGTTCCTGAGCAGCCTGGAGAAGGCAGGTAACAAGTCTGAACTCTTCGAGTCTATTAAGACCGGCTGCAAAAGGGCTGCATGAGACTACGTGACTGGATAAAGCAATGGAGGTCAGTTAGCCACAGAGGTGCACGAAGGAACAAACATCAGCCCAGCACACATAAAAACAACCAAACACCAGCCAGAAGCAGCACTGCTCCACCCTCACACCTGAGCTGAAGTGTTCCCAACCCATAAATAGTGTCAGCAGTTCTCCCTGCCCCGTCCCCACCTAGTTTAGACTCTGTACTTCAGGTGGTGTGCACAGGGGAAGCGTGCTCTCATCCTGTATTTTATAACCCCGCTGCAAGCAGTGAGGCCAAAGCAAGGAGCAGCAGCGACTCAGACACATCTCACGAATTCCACAAGTGCAGGCAGCCAAAAGGGATGGGCCTGGGCCTCAGGAAAAGGTGCTGAGAACTCGAGAGGAAACAAAGCAAGGCTTGTTTCTTTCCATCGGGGGAGGTGGGAGGGCAGTGGCATTTTATTAGCCTAGCTGGTGGACCAGCTGTGTCAAAAAGCTGTCACTTTTTTTTTTCTTCCTCCAGCTGCCTCAGGTACTCTACCAACAGGTATTTGCTCACTTCAAGAAGCTGCTCTCAGATCTTCGCTCAGCACAGCTGCTACGAGCTCCCTCCCTTACCACACGGCAGTTTCACATCTTAAATTGCAGCTCAATTGTCCTTCCTATCAGATCTCTAGACTGGGAGCCCTTTTGAAGGCCACAAAAATTAGCTTATTGCTCTGACAACAGCTACTCCAAGTGCTTACAGAGCTAAAAAAGTTACACAGCACGGCTGCAGAGGTTGCGTTAATTGACCACAGCTCAATTAAGACTGTGGTAAGCATTCACAGTAAGCATTTTCCTATCAGATCTATCCCTGATTTCAGGACCAGTCAGGAAAATCCAGCTCCCTTGGATGCCGACCCTGAGAGGGAGGGGAACAGAGGGGCACCAGGGAGCTTGGACGAGGCAGGAAGCCAAACAGCGCAGCGCCTCCCCTCAGCACACAGCCTGACAGACACCCAGCCGAGAAACCAAACCACCCGACCACAGACAGCAGGCCAGGCCTCCAGCCAGCACATTAGGGTTGTTTTGTTTTTTAATAAAAGCGTCTCTGCTGAAACCTGGATCGCTACCTGGCTGCCTTTGTAGATCTGTGGCAAAAAACATGAATATTAAGGCTGAGAAAAGCAGAGCACACCCAGGTGCTACCACCCTGCAGCCCGATTACCTCTGACGGAGCTCTGTGGGACTCACCTGGCGCGGACACCAAGATCTGGCAGCGGGTGAGGATGGCCAGGAGGAAATCGTTGTGGGAGTGCACTGCGTGGGGACAGACACAGCCCGTCAGTAACACACCCGTGTGCGGGGCACCCACCTGAGGCAGATTTGGGGCTGTTCTGCCTTGTTCCCCTTAGGGGCTCAGCCACCAGGCCCCAAACTCCAGGCACAAACACCTCAGGGCTCTCGCTTTTTTTTTTTAGAGGTAAGGGATGAGGGGGGTGGGGGGCTGCCAGCCCCTGCCCTCACCGTTGTCCTGCGTGAGCAGCCGGCGGGCCTCCAGGTCGAACTCCTCCTTGCTGATCTTCTGCTTGAACCACAGCTTCAGGTTGGCCCAGTACCTGCGGGCACAGCGAGGCGGGGGGGTTAAAGGAGTTAAACGGGGAAGGTTTTGGGGTCCGGGGCCGCACTCACTGCTTCACGTTCTCGCCCAGCGCCTCGCTCAGGCTCTTCTTGGCCGCCTCCAGCTCGCTGACGATGGCCGCCATGGCGCTGCCTCAGCGCCCGCCCGCCTCAGGGGGAGGGGGCGGGGCTTAGCGAGGCCACGCCCCCCGCGCCGAGCCCCGCCGAGCCCAGCCGAGCGGAGCCGAGCGGAGCCGAAGCGCCTCGGGTCGGGACCGGGAGCGGGACCGCGATCGGGATCCGGATCGGGACCGGGATTGGGATCGGGATCCGGATCGGTGCCGCCGCCGCAATGCCGGGGCTGCTGCTGGGCGACGAGGCGCCCAACTTCGAGGCGGACACGACGCAGGGCCGCATCCGCTTCCACGACTTCCTGGGCGACTCGTGAGCAGCGGGACGGGATTGGGATGGGGATGGGGATTTGGGATTATTGGGATTGCAGGGAGAGGGGCACGGGGGGAGCCCGGTGCCGACCCCTCACGGCTCCGTGCCGCTGTGCCGGCAGCTGGGGCATCCTCTTCTCCCACCCGCGGGACTTCACGCCCGTCTGCACCACGGAGCTGGGCCGGGCGGCCAAGCTGGCGGCGGAGTTCAGCAAGCGCAACGTGAAGATGATCGCCCTCTCCATAGACAGCGTGCCCGACCACCTGGCCTGGAGCAAGGTATGGGGGCACCGGGGTGACCAGGGGCATCGGGGTGACCGGGGGGTGGCGGGGTGACCGGGGCGCCGGGAGGATGGGGTGTGCACAAGGACTCGGTGCCTTGGGTGGTGCAATGGGGCGGGAGGTGGCCAAAGGGGTCGTAGGGCTTCAGGGGGGAGAAAGCAGGAGGCAGAAGGACACATTAAACATAAATCAGCAAGTGAGAGCGTGCAAGAGCTAAAACCATCCCTAGGAAGCTTAGGAAGCACGGCACAGAAATAAGGAGCAGGACAGCTACCGATGGGAAACCCCAGTCACAGCGCTGTGGGGCCAGGTGACGGGGTGTGAAACGAGCTCTGGGAAGGGTAAAACCAGGGTTCGGCAACCCCCGGGTGAGCTACGTGCCTCCCCTCACTCTGGGAATGGGAAGGTGCTCACGGGTTTTCCGGGAGTGAGACACGCATGCAAATAAGGAGTGATAAAGGTGAGAATTTGCGCAGTCCGGTGTTATTTAGGGGCTGAGCGGGTTCAGAAGCTGCCAAGTGGTGGTGTTGCTCAAACTGACCTCTGTACCTGGGTGGTGCACGGCCCTGGCCCACCGAGCCTCAAAAGGGGCCGGGGACAAACAGCACACAAACCCCCACGGCAGTGAGTGGGGTCTCTGTGCTGGAACCACCGGTCAGATCCCATTAAACGCAACCAAAAGTTTGGGTCGTGGTTCATAACGCAGCCTCATGTCCTGGTTTGTTGGAGCCCTCTGTAAGAACTGTAGGGGTGTTGCTGACTACCACAGAGACCCTACATTTCCAGGAGGCTTTCAAATGAAAATCAGCGCTGAAAGGGAAGGCTCAGCTCTGCAGGGAGATGGGGGGAGCACCGAATTGTGTCCAGGGAGGGGAGCAGCAAGCTTCCTAGGAGGGTGTGCAGGACGTGGGGTGCTCAGCGTAGCCAGAGAGCCTGCAGGAGGTGAGCAACGAGCTGCCTTTGCTGGTGCTCCAAAATGATTCAGCACAACCTCAGGTAAAACCAGGAAAAGTTGCAGAGCAGTTTCAGGGCGCCGGTGGGAACAGCACCTTTGGAAAAACAGCCCGAAAACCACAGAGAAAGTCAGAGGGCAGCAGCTCGAGCTGCAGGGAGCTCGCTGCCAGGCTGGGAGAGGCCTCAGACACTCTGGTGTGGAAATTTCTCCTCTGCACCTGTCGAAAGAAAACCTGTGATCGTCCTCCAGAGCACAAGATCAAATCGGAGGGGATAAATCCACAGCAGGCTGCGGCCTTCTGTGCAGCCTGCGTTTGGTTTTGCCCATCTCACAGCCTACAGGAGAGCAAGACAAGGTGCAGAGGGGGAGCAAATGTGGGGCAGGTTTTGTTCAGTGCCCAGCAACTGGGCCCCTGCTGGGTGGGAATGGGAGGAGAGTTCCCTGAACTGGGAAGGCAGCTGTTAGGAGCTGAGATAGCACGCCTTGGTGGCAGGGGCCTCTGGACAAAAGTGGTCTGTGTGAAATGCTAGACTGAGATCTAGAAGCTGCATTTTCCTTCGCTAGGTCTTAGGAGTGTGAGGAACAAGCAAAACTTTGGGCAGCTGGATCTCTGTGCAGCATTCCCCCACGTTCCTGGGCTTTCTCTCTGGATGAAGCTCGTTTCATCCGGGGGAGCAAATGGCTGAAAAATGGCTGAAATTTCACATGAAACGACAAAGAGACCTCTGCTTCCTTTGGTGCCAGGTTTCAGTGGGCAGGCAGGGCCTGGAAAGTTGATAAGCGGGGCGGGACAGCTGGCCTGGCAGCAAAGAGCAGGGCCGTGAAGTGGAGCAGAGCCAGAGCTGTGGTGTCACTTTGCCCAGCTCTGCTTTCCCAGCCAAAGATGTCACGGCTCTTCTCAAACACCCCCTAGCCACGACCCAGGGGCTTGCTCAAGGTCTCACAACGAGCCCGTACCTCGGCCAGAGATCAGTCCTGCTCCACTGCTGCTCCAAGGCCTGGCTGAAGGGAAATCCTGCTCCTTCAGCGGGATTAAAGATGGGATCTGCCTCGGCAGCACCAGGTCTGGGGCATGTGGAGAGGTGCTTGGCTCCCGAGTGGTTGCCACAGGGTTGTCAGAGGAGGTTTCAGGCCCCTCTTTGATTGCTGCTGCCTTGGCCTGGGTGAGCGGGGTGGATAAATCGCGCTGATGCTGCCTGGTTTCGGCTTGGAGTCTGGAAAGAAAGATGGTTTGCAGGGAAGTGAGTAAGTCGTGTGTCGTATTGCAAAACAGGGTGGGGGTTATGAAGCCGTTTTGTATGGAGATTTCCTGCAGCGTGAAGTTACGTGCGTTTTACAAGGAGTTACAGCCTGTGAGATTTGCATACGGCTTCTCAGCTCTCTTCATCCCCGCTCTGGAGAGAGGCCTGCATGAGAGCCACCGCCCAACTTCCCTGCACGGCCTCCTGCAGCTCCGCAGGGCCTTCAGAGACGGGCTGGCCTCCCGGCTCTGCTTTCACGAGGCAGCTCAGGAGCAGAAGCCATCCCCTCCCAGACAGGCCGGCAGGCAGCCCAGCAGCCGAGCAGCCCCTTTCTGCAGCACGCCACTGACTCACCGAGGCCTTGGGGCGAAAGCAAGCGGAGAGAAACGCTTCAAAGGCAACATCCTGCCACGGGTGCATCACTTGACCTGCTTGCAGCATCCTGAGCAGCCAGGGCAGGGTTACAGCCCCTTACATCACCACCAGCAGCCTGGGGGTGCCAGCACAGGGCCTGCCTGCTCTCACTTACAGCACGCTCTGAGCAGCACTGGGCATTGCCTGGGGCAGCATTTCCAACTCTGCCCTCCCCACGTTCCTCCTGAGCGGGCCCCAGCCTGCTCCAACACGCTTAAAGCCCAGGGAAGAGAGGTTTGAGTGTTCACAGCTGATCCTGCAAAGCAGCGGCGTGCTGGAGTCTGGTTTGTTCCCCTGTAGCATAAAGAGGAGGGAGGGAACAGGCAGCTCTGTTCTGGGGCAGAAACCTTGGAATCAATTTGCTTTCACGCTGGCAGCTGCTCTGCTCGTGCTGCCCTGAGCAGGCTTTTCCCAGCCCTGCTGTGGCTCGGCACAACTCTGCAAACTACAGAGATAACGCCAGTGTTTTGGCCAAATCCAGACTGGATTCAGAGATGGGCAACATACAGTTCCTGCGTGAAGCAGATAAGGTTAGGACTGGCACGGGGAGCAGCCTCACAAACTGGTCACAAGGGAGAGCATCCGTGGGAGCTGATGGTTTTCCCTGGGGTGAAAAAACAAAATGTTCCTTAAGAACAGTTAAAAAAAAAAAAAGTTCCTTAAAGAACACGGTGTGGTTCAGCCTCTGTCCCCTGTACACGAGCATCTGGGTGGCTTTGTCTCCGCAGGACATCAACGCCTACAACGGGGAGCAGCCCGAGGAGACGCTCCCCTTCCCCATCATTGCTGATAAGAACCGGGAGCTCGCCGTCAAGCTGGGCATGCTGGACCCCGACGAGCGGGACAAGGATGGCATGCCCCTGACTGCTCGCGTGGTGAGTGCCCGGCCCGGCAGCTTTCTGTGCCTGGCAGCCCCCCTCTGCAGGGCAGCGAGGTTTGGGACCCTCTGGGGGGCTGGGCTGACCTCCCAGGGCTGGGTGCAGGAGCTGTGCTGCAGGAAGAAGCTGGCGCAGCCCTGAACTGCTGGCAACAGCTCTGTCATGCTGCTGGCACCAGCTCGTCCTCGTGCCCGTCCGGACGGAGAGGGAATATTAAGTCCTTGATCTGCTGGACTTTCCCTCTCCCCTCTGTGCCTGTGTTGAAAGGCCAGGGGGAAGAAATTTCAAGGAGCAAAACAAGGCAGCGTTAGGAGGAGGAGCTCCCAGAGCAGACGCTGTGCTCCACATGCCTGGGAGTCGGTGTTTGCTCTAGGAGATAGCCACCCCTCCTGTCCAAGTCAAACAGGACACAAATTTCCCAGATGCAGTAGGACAAACACCTTCTGCCTGGCCCCTGCTGGTGCCCCAGGAGCCTGACTCTGCCTCCCTGTGCTCAGGTGTTCGTGTTCGGCCCGGATAAGAAGCTGAAACTCTCCATCCTGTACCCGGCCACCACCGGGAGGAACTTCGACGAGATCCTGAGGGTGGTGGACTCCCTGCAGCTGACAGCTTACAAGAAGGTGGCTACCCCCGTGGACTGGAAGGTGAGGAGGGGAGCAGAGCTCAGCCAGGCTGTGTATGGACAGGGGATGCTGAGGTGCACCGAAACATCTGCCTGCTCCCCTCGGGGGTGACCGAGGGGTAGGGAGAGGTGCTGAGGCCCCGCGGTACGAGCTGCAGGCTCAAGCACAGAGCTGGAGCACTGCCCAAACTCCTGTTCCTCCCCGCAGGGAAGGGTTGGGCTGTGGGATCCCGTTGGATCAGAGGGTGCAGCTCTCCCTTTCCACACCACCCCCGTTCCTGGCGTCTCTCCCAGGGCGCGTGCCTGGGGCTGAGCATTTTGGGGGGCGGCCGCATCCACCAGCACCTCTGCTGCTCTCACGCCTCCCGTTTGCCCCCCCAGCCCGGCGACAGCGTCATGGTTGTGCCCACCTTACCTGACGAGGAGGCCAAGAAGCTGTTCCCGAAAGGAGTCTTCACGAAGGACCTGCCTTCGGGCAAGAAGTACCTGCGCTACACCCCGCAGCCCGAGTGAGCGGCCCTGGACGCAGCCGGCAGCGCTGCCCGTGCCCAGATCCGATGTCCCCAGCCCCGTGTGACACTCACTGACAGCTCACCCCCATACTAAACCACCCCACGGCCCTCGTGTCCCCCCCCCACAGCCCCTCAAACTACAACCCCGGGTGTTTTCTTGCCTTGAATCAGCCCTGCCAGGAGGAGGTTAGCAGACTGGTGGCAGCTCCGCGGCTCACGCTGGGCTGTCTCCCGCTGAGCTGCTCCTGAGAGGGATGGTGGCAGCAGCCAGGCCCCGAGGCGCGTCCTGCTGGGCTCCTGTCTCCCACCAGGTCGCTGAGGGTGCTCCAAGCTGCTGTGTGCCTTTAGGAGCGGCCGTCACTAACCCGGTAACAACTGCGTTGGGTCCCCTCCGTCGGGGGAGGAGCTGCGGAACAAAATCTCTCACTTACTGCTTTCTCATCTCCTGCTGAAAGCTGACCTGATTATTTTCAGCTTTTATGGAAGAGGGAATAGAGGGAATAAACTGGTCTTCAGTACTATGAGCGGTGTCCCTGGTCTGCTTTTGTTGGGGTTCACCCGTGGCACCCCGAATGATTTTGCTTGCTGTGGCTGGGCTGTGCGCCCACGCTCCCGGCTGGTGGCAGCACCATGGGGTGCCTTGTGACTGCCCTATAAATCGGGCACTTGGGGAAATAAATGGCAGTGGTTACAGGGCAGCCGTGCTGTCTCTGCTTCGAGGAGCCTCGTGGGGGAAGGAGGGAGCTGGCTGCTTGGGGAATGCCAGGCTGGACCGGGAGGTAGCTCCCCAGGGCACGATATAATCCCTCAAACTCCTCCCTGCTCCTAAACCCCAGCATCTCCCAGTGCCCTCACAGCCAGCGCCTGTCCTCCAGCACCCCGACACGCCAGCCAGGCCACCCCACTGGGGACATCCTTGCCTAGAAGCAGCTGCCTTTCAGGCTGGGAACTCCCCCTTTTATTGCCAAAATAAATTCCATTCATACCTAATTGCTGTCAGGGACAACACACTGAATATTTCTGCAAGAAGTGGGAGGGGGAGCTGCAATTCCAAAGGGGAAACCTCCCTTCTCTGGGCATTTTCTCAGCACTCCCCAAGCTTGACAGCTTCCCAAGAAACCCACAAGCTGCGAGAGCTGCTGGTTTCTTGCAGGAGCGTGGCAAGAAACGCCCTCCCCTTGATCTGATTGCCCAAGGGAAGAGGGCAGCGCGCATCCCTCTGCATCCCTCTGCTCCTCGCGAGCTCGCCAGCCCGAGGCAGCCGGAGTTACTCAAGCAGACAGAACACCTGGGTTCCAGCACAGGTCGAACGTTTTGCTTTTAATCCCAGAGAAGTGAAATGCAACGTTTGTTCGAGTTTGCAATAACATCCAAAGACAGAAGTCCAAGCCCCCTACTCGGTAAAGTCATTTGTGTTTAAGGCACTCTGCAAAACCAGCTTTCGTCTCCTCTTCCTTCCGATTTTCCCCAGACGGCAGCAGAATACCTGATTTTTCTCTTTCCTCCGTAGCGACACCCACGCGTCCTCGCTCCGATCACCATCTCCGGAAATTGGCAACAGCAAATTCAGCGCGAGCCAAACAGAAAGACACCAGGGAGGCCGGGCCGATAAATAGGGACGGGCACGGGAGGGAGCGCAGCGCCTGGGGAGGGGGCACGAGGGGGCTTCTGCGGGGAAAGGACGGGCACGGGACGTCCTCCCTGCAGGCATCTGCATCGTCCCCCTTCCTTTTCCCCAGTTCTCCCTTCCCTCCCAAAAGGGGACAGGATGGGAGCAGGTGCCCGCGAGCAACCCTCCCCATCGGCGCTCCCGAAATCCATGGGGAAGGGGGGAGGATATAAGGGGGGACCCAGCCACCCCTGCTGACCCCCCCCGCCCCGCGTTCCAGCCGTCGATAAATACAAATCAATAAATAAACGTCAAATAAATAAATAAATAGATAAATAAATAAATACAAATAGGGGAACCAATAAATAAGCCGGGGAGGAGAGGGGCGGCGGTGCCGGCGCCTGCCCCGCAGGCGTTCCCCTGCACCACGAAGCCATGCCCTAAAGCCAGAGGGACGGACGGACGGACGCTTCCCGCAGCGCCTGAGCGGCGTGGGGGCACGGCCCCAAAAACGCCAGGGGATGGAGGAGAAGGGGGCACCTCGGGATCCTCCCTGAGATAACGAGGCGCCAGCTAGGAGCAGGGAAGGAGGGAGGAGGCGGCCCCACACCTGCACCCCCCTGGTCCCAGCACCGCTGCCGTGACCATCACCTCTGGGGGAAAAACCCCAGCGGGTCAAAAATACACTTTGTTGTTTTTTTTTTCTTATTTCGCACCGAAAGGTGCTTCCCCCTCCGTCTCCTCCCTCAAAGTTTGTAACAAATTGGATCTGAAGTTTCCAAGGGCTTGCCAGGCACACTTTTGATAAAGGAAACCTCAGCGATGGCTACAGCTGCCTGTGATTGTGCGTCGGTATGAAAACCCTGGCCGAATCTCACAAAAACGGGGCGCCCTGCAGCGCTCACCTCCCCCCGCAGGGGAGCAAAGCAAACCAGAGCCCAGCGCCTGCCTCCCCTTCACACCCTCCTCGCAGAAGGGTTCGCCCAGCCCTCACTGACCCCAAATCCGCCGGATCCCAGCCCACCAAACCGAGCGGGGCCGCAGCCCACAGCACCTGGAAGTGCTCGAGGTGCCGGCACGCAGAAGGGACAGAAGGAGCCGAACCCGTGGAAAACGCTGCCAAGGATCATAAATAGCCTGGGGATTTCACAAGGATTTTTGGTCTAAGACACCTGGGGAGTCCCTCTGCCTGCGGGGAGTGGCTCCCAGAGGCTCGGGGTGCGTGTCCCACGCTGGGGAAGCACCCCACAGCTCCGCAGCAGCAAAACCTCACAGACAGAGGGACAGCAGGGCAAAGCGAAGAGAGAAGGGAAAGCAGCAAAAGCCACATTCGTCTGCCCAGGCCCCTCGGGGGACACAGGGTGCCTGAATCTGGCCCTGGGCAGGGGCAGAGCCGCCGTGGCTCCTGCTTCTGCTGCATCCAGGAGGGAGCAACCACCAGGGCACAGATGAAAGAGAGGAAACGTCGCTCCCCTGCCGAAAGAAGCAGGGAATTGAGCGCCCAGCCCGCAGCACCAGCACCTCCTCGCCGACCAGAACGATGCCAGCGGTCCAGGCGGCGAGGCAAGGGCAGGGGGCGAGGAGAAAGGCAAGTAAAAAGGAATCCCTTATCTGCCAGACAGCTGCAGCGGCACAAGGCAGCGCGCTCTCCTCCTCCCCGTGCGCACCCCTGAGCTGCTCAGCTCCACGGGTGGCTCCGGATGAGGTCCCCACACGAGCAGGCGTTTGCAGGGAAGATGAGCAAGAGCCCAACTTGTCGCTCACGGGCTCCCGTCGGCAGTGGAAGCACCCGAATCCTGGAGTACCTCCAAGGATTTTTGGCTACCACGCAAACGCCGTCAGTAACTGCCTGCTCTCCCTCGCCTGGGTAAACAGGCGCCGCTCGCGGCTTCTCTGCTGGCTGAGGATTAATTTTTGCTTCTGCAAAAAAAAAAATTTAAAAAAAAATAAAAAAAATAAAAAGGAAAGAAAAGGGCTGGCGGGAATGGGGAGGCTGAGGAACTGCAAAGATTTAGTGCACCTTAAAACTAAGGGACGGGTAACCTGCCCTTAGGTCTCACGCCAAGATGGGAATGAACTACGCCACCTCCTACGTTCACGACTACTCCAAACACACCGAGATGCATGCAAAACGTCCCGCTGCGGGGAGCCCCTCTCGGGCACAGACACCCCCTGTCACCGGGCTCCCGCGCTGCTCCCAGGCCCTGCCAAGTCCCAGCGAGCGTGACAACGGGCTGATTATCCATCCAAAATGCATAGGTAGAGACACCCAGGGGCAGGGCGGCTGCGCAGAGCCCCCCGCCCCGACTGGCAGGCATGGTCTCGATGGTCTCGACTCTTCTCCGGCTGACGGGGTGGAAGCAGCATTTGCCACAGGCACGGTTGGATGGCGCTCTCGCTCCTCACGTCTCCCTGCAGGGAAGCAGGAGGTGGTTAGCCAAGCCAGCCTCTTTGCCAGCCCTAGGAGTGCTTAAATCCACCTCCTGGGGGGGATCCACCAGCTCGGCGGCCGGGCCAGGCTGACGCTCTCTTTCCAGCTGAGGAGAAGCCGTGTTTCCAAGCGCAGCTACAAAAGGCAGGCGAACCCAGGAGGTCTGCTTTGGCTCAGGAACCACGCGCCCCGGTGCTGCGCTACTTGGGCGGTATCACCACTATGGGCTGGCCTCGCTTGGGTCTCCACATGAGGACTTGGGCATCATTGGCGTTGGGTTTCACTAGTGCGTTGGGCGGGATGGGCTCCATCCTGCTCAGGATCCGCGGCTGCTCCTGCTGAGTCCTGCCCACCAGCCGTGCCCGCTGGCCCAGGAGCTGCATGGGATCAACCTCAATGTCCACCCGCATCCTCCACTTGATGGTCTGCAGGATGATCTTCTCCTTGGTGGTGGTGTTCATGGCCACCAGCCAGGTGGTGAAGCTCTGGTCCCTTTTAATCCTGGTCAGCAGTGGCACGTTGCTGTTGCTCACGGGGACAGCCCACGTCACGCTGGGGTAGAAGTTGTCGTTCATGCTCACCGAGAACCTGGAGATCTTGTTCGTGGGGCCGACCAGGGTCACCGTTTCCGTGGTGTTGCCGTACCAGGGGTAGCTCACCCCATCGGAGTCGCTGATGGCTTTTACTCTTCCTTCTCGCAGGTCGGGCAGCTCCCAGCTCGACCTAGGGAACGGAGAGAGAAGGGGCAGGTTATCGGGGAACCGGAGACAGCAAGGGAGGGACTGAGGCAAGCCCCAGTGTGCCAGCACCTGCTTTAGACCAGGGGGAGAGAGCACAGATAAAGGGATAACGATTCAGTCCAAAATCCCCCTGAAAAAGCCATTTCTGCTGCAGCCACCGGAGGCTTCGTGCCCAGCCAGAGCCACGCACCAGAGCCCGTCTCTGGCATCAGCCACCAGATCCTCCCTCCGGCAGCGCTGACTCAAGAGCAGAGCTTGGGAACCATCTTCCCACCTGCAGGAAGCCACCGAGGACCTCATTCAAGCACAAATTTGTCTTCAGCTCCTTCGCTGAGTCAGTCGGGGCCAGCAGAAGCCTCCGCTCTGCCAGCACAACAGCATTTTAATTAACCTGCCGTCTAACCAAACGGGCCAAAACTCATTTCTGAGCCTTCCACGGGTCACGCTCTCCTTAATCAGCTCTTGATCTAAAGAAAGAAAGGAGAAAAAGGAAAAAAAAAAAACAAAAAAACCTCGCTGTGTGTCAGCTGCAGCACCGCCACGCCGAGCCTGGAGCAGCTCCCCCCATGCCTGCAGCTCCGTCTGCGATTCCTACACCCCTAAATATAGGCTGAGACACATGTGCGGCAATTAAATATCACAATTCCGCCTGCTGCCGCTGCGATGAAATCCCTGCCGCGCTGCTGGGGTTGTGGGGGGGGGGGGGGAAATTCCAGCCAAAATCTTGGCTGCGGCCCACACCAACACCGCCAGGCGGGCGCGGCCAGGCAGGGGATCTCCACGTGGCCGCTACGAGCTGGGAACGGGGCCGGCGGCCACCTGGCTCTGGCGAGCCCTAGCCCAGCTCCCGGGCGTCTTTCCTAAAGTCCCGAGAATGGGAAAACCCACACAATTTTGAATCCATGCTTTTAAATTTAAAGCCACCCAGAGCGAGAGGTGGTCAAGGAGCAGAGCGGGGCCGGGGGAGCTGCTCCAGCCCCAGCTGGGGCCATGCGGACCCCATGGGGCTTTCTGCGAGCCCCCCCCTCCTGTCTGAGAGAAATCAGGGCTCTGCTGCTCCCGGGGAAGGAACCGGGAGAAATGAGGTCGGTGGGACGGGCCGGGGACGGGCCTGGCTGCAGACGTGCGCCTCGGTGTCCTCCTGAGCCACCTGCGTGGAGCCTTCAGGGGTTTCACCCCAAAACGCTCCCAGTAGGGTGGCAACAAGGGACACGAGGCCATGGCATTGAGGGAGGGCAGTGGGGAACCGTGCTGGGGCCTCTGTCCCCTCACGGAACCACAATGGGGTCTCTGTCCCCATCGTGTAATGGCACTGGGGTCCCTGACCCCTCACAGGGGGCCTGTCCCCTCACAGGACTGCTATGGGGTCTTTGGTGCCTTATGGGATGGTGCCAGGGCCTCTGTCCCATCATGTAATGGTACCAGGACCCCATCACCTCACAGGGCCACACTGGGGTGTCTGTCCCTGCACAGAATGGCAGTGGGGTCTCCGTCCCCAACATGTAATGGCAGCGGGATTCCATCGCCTCACAGGGCCTCAATGGGGTCTCTGACCTCATAAGGAATGGCGCCAGGGCCTCTGTCCCCATCATGTAACTGCGCTGGGACCCCATCACCTCACAGGACCACTGTGGGGTCTCTGACCTCATAAGGAATGGCACCAGGTCCTCCATCCCCGTCATGTAATGGTACCAGGACCTCCATCCCCTTCACATAATGGTACCGGGATCCCATCACCTCACAGAACCACACTGGGGTTTCTGGCCCCTCATGGAATGGCACCAGGCCCTCTGTCCCCATCACATAACTGCACTGGGACCCCATTACCTCTCAGGTCCACTATGGGGTCTCTGACTTAAGGAACAGCACCAGGACCTCCATCCCCATCATGTAACGGTACCAGGACCTCCATCCCCATCACGTTGTAGTGCTGGGACCCCATCACCTCACAGCACCACTCTGGGGTCTCTGACCCCTTAAGGACCGGTACCAGACCCTCCATCCCTATCACATAACAGTGCCGGGCCCCCACCACCTCCCAGCACCACACTGCGCCCTCTAACCCCTTCCAGCACACCCCCAGAGCCCCCATCCCCACCACGCAACCTCGCCAAGCCCCCCGGCAGCCCCTCACCCCGACCCTAAGGCACGACACCAACCCCATGCACCCCCCCGCCACCCCAAATGCCCACCCCACACGCCCGCAGCTCACACGCCGAGGTCGCTGTAGGTGTTGTAGAACTCCATGTGGTTGCAGGCCTGGATCCAGCCCACCACCCAGGTGTGGCGGCGGGCGATGGGCGGCATGAGGACGCGGGCGGAGGCGCGGAAATAGGGCGTGCGGTAGCGCAGCACCACGGGCGAGCTCTCCTCGATGGCGGTGGCGGCGGGCTCGATGGTGGCGGACACGTCGGACACCACGATCTGCTCCCGCCGCACCCGCGCCTTGCACGCCACGCTCTGCAGGCAGCCCATGGCCGCCGCCCGCTCCTCCCCGCCGCTGTTACCGCCCGGCCCCCCCCCCTCCCCCCCGGCCCGGTATCACCGCCATCGCCCGGCACCGGCACCGGCACCGGCACCGGCACCGGGAGGGCGAAGGCGCCGCCGCCGCCGCTCTTGAGGCCCTCGGCGGCCACCGTCTGCCGGCACCGCCGCTAGGGGGAAGGGGGGGAAGGAGGCGGCGGCGCTCGCTGCGGTCGCTGTGGTAACGGGGGGCGGCACCGGGGGGACCGGGGGGGTACGGGGGGGTATAGGGGGTACCGGGGGGATACCGGGGGGCACCGGGGAGGTACAGGGAGGGTACGGGGGGGTACAGGGGGCACCGGAGGGGGAATTAGGGGGGACTGGGAGGATACTGGGGGTACTAAGGGGATACTGGGGGGTTACTGGTGGGCACCGAGAGGTACCGGAGGGGTACAGGGGGCACCGGAGGGGTACCGGGGGGCACTGGGGAGATACTGGAGGGCACCGGGTGAACGCACAGGGCACCGGAGAGATACTGGGAGGGTACAAGGGGCACCAGAGGGGTAGTTGGGGGATACTGGGGGCACTGAGGGGATACCGGGAGGGTACCGGAGGGCACCGGGAAGGTACCGAGAGGGTACAAGGGGCACCAGAGGGATACTTCGGGGATACTGGGAGGGTACTGGAGGGCACTGGGAGAGTACAGGGGGCACCTGGGAGGTACTGGGGGCACTGAGAGGATACCGGGGGGGTACCGGAGGGCACCAGGGGAGTACAGGGGGCACCGGAGGGGTACCAGGAGGCACCGGGGGGATACTGGGAGCACTGAGGGGATACTGGGAGGTTACTGGAGGGCACCAGAGGGGTACCGGGAGGCACCGGGGGGATATTCGGGAATACCTGAGGGCACTGAGGGACACTGGGGAGGTACCTAGGGGGCACCAGGGGCAGCTGGGCCTGTGAGGTGACAGCAGGAGGCAGCCCAGCAGTGAGTGACCTGCCTTGGCCTCTCCAGGTCTGGTCCCATCCCGGTCCTGTCCCCATCCCGGCACCATGCCCAGCCCTCGCAGCAGCCGCGAGCGCCGCGCTGGCCGCCCAGAGTTCGTGTCCCTGCTGAGCCAGCGCGGCCCCACAGCCCCAGACAGCCCAAATCGCCGCCGTGAATCCGGGGGCTCCGTGCCCCCGCCGCTGCCCGAGGAGGACTGCATGAGGCTGAACCCATCCTTCGTGGGCATCGCCCTCAGCTCCCTGCTCGCCGTCGACCTCTGGGCCTCCAAGCGCCTGGGAGTGTGCGCCGGGGAGGCCTCGGCCTGGGGCAGTGCCCGGCCGCTGCTGAAGGTGGTGGAGGTGTCGGGGCACGGCATCCCCTGGCTGCTGGGCACCTTCTACGGGCTCTGCCAGAGCGACAGCTCAGCTGCCAGGGAGGTGCTGCTCAACCTGCTCTTCGGTGAGGCCGGGAGGGGGCCGCCACGGCGGGAGGATGGGGCCCGAGGGATGGGGAAGGGCTGAGGAAAGCTGGGTGTCACAGCCCCGGGGGGGAGCCGTCTGGTTCCCAGCAGCTGGCACGTCTGCCCGGAGCTGCAGTACCTGGGTGGCTGCTCCGGCTTCCAGACATTGTGCCCATGCGGCACCTGGGTGGCTGCTCCGGCTTCCAAAAACCTGTGTCCATGTGGCACCTGGGTGGCAGCTCCAGTTTCCAAACACTGTGCCCGTGGGGTCGCTGCAGGCACTGATCTGTAAAAGCCAATGTGGAAACTTCACCCAAAGCATGCATTTTAATCACGCCTGGTGCTGCATTTCACCCCCCCAGCATCCTGTCCTAGGAGGTATATGTAAATTCATTTTTGCTCGCTTTGAAGCAGCGGTAGCGCCAGAACAACAGACCTTTCTGGATTCCCAACTTTTAAGCTGGGAAATTATAGGTGTCTCACAGTGATTGTTTGAATCTCGGTTTGCTTGGTGGGAACTGTATGCTTTTGTGCATCTTTTCCATTTAGCAGTACATGGTTAAAGTACAGCATCCCAGGAGAGCTGGTGGGAAGGGAGCTGGTGGCTTCTGCCCTCTTTCCACAGAATGGTTTGGGTTGGAAGGGACCTCAAAGCCCACCCAGTTCCACCCCCTGCCATGGGCAGGGACACCTCCCACCAGCCCAGGCTGCCCAAAGCCCCATCCAGCCTGGCCCTGGGCACTTCCAGGGATGGGGCAAACACCGCTTCTCTGGGCAGCCTGTTCAGTGCCTCACCTCCCTCGTAGTGAAGAATTTATTGCAAATATCTAATCCAAATCTGCCCTGTTTTAGTATAAAACCATTACTCAGAGCAAGCGTGTTCTGGCACCAGGGCCATGTCCAGCTAGAGCCACCCACCTTGGGGTCCTGCAGCACCCATGTGGGGAATGAGCTGAATCTCTCAAAATAAGTGATTGAACTAGGTTTACTTCTAAGAAAAAACAAAACAAAACACAAATTAGATTTGTTCTTAAATGATTAACCAAAGGGAGTAAACTAAAGTGACCGAAGGAAGGACTTTGTGCCCAGGCACAGGCCGTAGGGCAGAAATCAGTCTCTCAGACAAGATTTCCCTGGAAGAAGCAGCTCCTGCCAGCACCACGAGCTGGGCCGAGGTAGCGAAAGTGCTGCCTGGTGCGAGCAGCTGCTCTTGCCAAGTCCTGACGGAGCATTTCTCAGACACTTCACCTCTGACTTCTGCCACAGCAGCCTTTAGACTCCTGGGAGCAAGCTGCTGTTGTTTAGTTCACCCTTTACTCAGCTCTTAAAAACGGGGTGTTTAACTTGTACACTGGGGCCCCCAGCAGCAGGGAGAAGCCAGATGTGGAGCTGCAAGCCCCCAGACCCACCGAGGACACAGGCACCCCCCTCACACCAAGGGGCAGCTGAGGTGGATTGATCATTTACCTGGGTCAAAGCAGGGCGTGCAGAGCCCTGCTGAGTCAGCAGAGGCAGGCAGGGAATGTTAACCCTGCCGGGGCTTTCAAAACAAGGCAGGATTTGAGCCCTGAGCTGCGAATGCTGGGTTTTACACCAATAAATTTCTCCCTCCTCTTCCTCCTCCTAGCCTTGCTGCTGGACCTGGTGCTGGTGGCGGTGGTGAAAGGCATCGTGCGGCGGCCGCGGCCCACGCACAACAAGATGGACATGTTCGTCACCGTCTCGGTGGACAAGTACTCCTTCCCCTCGGGCCACGCCACCCGCGCCGCCCTGGTGTGCCGCTTCGTGCTGCACCACCTGGTGCTCGCCGTGCCGCTGCGGGTGCTGGTGGTGCTCTGGGCCCTCGTCGTCGGCGTCTCCAGGGTGATGCTGGGCAGGCACAACGTGACGGACGTGCTCTTCGGCTTGCTGCTGGGCTACGGGCTCTACAGCGTGGTGGAGTACTGCTGGCTCTCCCCGCTCAACGCGCCTGCCCTCTTTGCTCTCTGGACCCACTGAGAGCCTCCCGGAGGAGGAGGCTCACACCCCGTTCTCTCCATACACACGCACAGAGAGAAAGGGGGCTACCGGGACTCGAACTGAGATTTTCCAGCCAAAATTTCACACTAGCAACGCTGCAGGCTCCCAGGCCTGTGGGTAGGTGCTGTCTCGCCCTGCTGCGGGGCTGCCAGGCACAACGCAGAGCCCGGGGAGGGGTCAGTGCACCCCCTGGCAGCTCGCTGCTGATCTGTGAATCAGGGTGCCCTCGCCGGGCACCTGCTGTGTTAGCCAGCAGTGGGTGGAATAGCTGGGGCTTCGCAGAGGTTTCCCTGCAGCTGCCCATGTTAGCTGTGCGCTGTAAATACAGGTGATGCTGCTGCTGGGGCCTGTCCTCGGGTTTATAAAGAGCTCTGCCTGCTGAGCAATGCGTCTCCTTCCTATCACCCCTGGTTTAGGCGCTGCACCAAGGCCAACAGGGACACGGGCACCTGGCTCCCAGTGCTGCGGGGAAGGGAAGGGGGCAGCCAGGGGTTTGGGCCATTTTTTTCCCCCCTCCGCGGGATTTTCAGTCACCCGGGGGCAACAACGTGGAGCTGTACCACTGCCACGGCTCCCCTGCACTGCCATCATTCATCCTGGCAACCTTTTCTTCCAGTTTTTCTTGGCAGGAGAGGACCACCAGGAGTCCAGCTCCTGCCTCACCCTCTCCTGGGGCCTTAAAACATTCCCCCTTGCTGCGGGAATCGCCTCGCTGGGGGGTTAGGGGAAAGCCGTGACCCTCACCCAGCCCAGGGCTGCTCAGATCCCCGCCTGCGTTCCCCAAAACCCTCCTGAAGGTGAGGCTGCTCCTTCCACTGGGCGGCAGGCAAGGAACAGGGCTTCAGCAATCCCTTTCTGCCCTCTCAGGAGGAAGGCATTGCGGGGGAGTAGAGGGCAACAGCAGAGCTGCCAGGGACTCTGCCAGCCAGCGCTGATCCCACTGTACCTTGTAAAATGAGCCAAGAGCACAGATAATCAGGAAATTGATGGTGGCGAGGCCGCAGGCACCGCAGGCAGTGAGTGAGGGCTCTGAGCAGTGCTTAAATAGTGCTGGGGGTGTGAGGAATGATTGGGGCCAGGTGGGGCTGCTCGTGGCCATTAAGTTCCTGGAAAAAAAATAAGTAAAAAAAAAAAACAAAAACATGGCACTGATGCCCACACAAGGCCACGGTGAGGGCAGCAGGGTGCCGGGCAGCCTGTCCCATGCAGCACAGAGGTCGTGGTCCTGAGCACAGCAGGGGCAGAGTCCCAGCCTGTGGGGACTTTCGGTTCCTCTCGCAGCTGCCAAAGGAGAAGGGACAACACGACAGCAAGCCGTGCAGCCATTTCACAGCACAGCGGCGTGGGGAAGGACAGGAGGAAAGCCCAGATGAGTTGTCCTCCTTGTGCTGGCCCCGTTGGGCTGGCAGAGGGGTCACAGCAGAGCCAAGGGGAGCTGTGGGGCTGGGCAAGGGGTGGCCAGGAGTGAGCCACGGCTGTGGGGACGTGGATAACGCGGGGAGGGTGCCCCTGGGGCAGCCAGAGCCACTTCACCCACCCACAGGGTACCAGCGGTATTCGGCGTAAGCAGGTCTGTGCTGATCCCGATAATCCTGCAGGTAAAAGTTCAAGGCAATGTTTGATTTTCCAGCGTGCACGCCGCGGGGCTGAGCTGCCCCTTGCCCCGCTCCGGGCAGCCCCCCGAGGTGTCCCCCGCCGCGGGGGACCCCAAGCGTGCGCCGGGGCAGCTCCTGGCCCAAATCTCTGCCGGAAAAACGAAGCATCCGGAGCGAGCCAAGAGCTGGCAGCCTGCCCTGTGGCTCCGTGGGAGGAGTGAGGGCAGGGGAGGCTCCCCCTCGCCGCCGAGCGCCATAAAGCCAGGCCACAAGCGGCCCCGGCTGAGGCTGGGTGGCGCAGGGCGGCATGGCGAGGCGGGTGGCTGTCATCGGCGGGGGCAGCAGCGGGCTGTGCGCCATCAAAGCCTGCCTGGACGAGGGGCTGGAGCCCGTCTGCTTCGAGAGGAGCAGGGACATCGGGGGGCTGTGGAGGTTTGAGGTAAGAGGTTGGAGGTAAGCCGTGCCGGCTGCGGGTGTCAGCAGGGCACCGAAGCCGGCCACGGGGCAGTCCTGGGGCAGGATCTGTGCACGTCCCGGTGGGTCCCGGGGAGCCTCACGGTGGCAGAACCCCCCCGGCTCCATCAGGAGGCAGTGACCTGCACGGGGCCGGGGCCAGCGGGACGCTGAGCCGTGCCCCGCGCCCGCAGGAGCAGCCCGAGGAGGGCCGCGCCAGCATCTACCGCTCCGTCATCATCAACACCTCCAAGGAGATGATGTGCTTCAGCGACTTCCCCATCCCCGACGACTTCCCCAACTACATGCACCACTCCAAGATCATGGAGTACTTCCGCATGTACGCCCGGCGCTTCGACCTGCTGCGGCACGTCCGCTTCAGGGTGAGAGACGGGGACCTTTGGGGGGGACACACATGGGGTCGGGGGGCACGAAATTCTGATTCCCGCTCCCCCCTGCCCAGACCAGCGTGTGCCGCGTGTCCAAGCGCCCCGATTTCGCCTCCACGGGCCGCTGGGAGGTGGTGACCGAGAGCGAGGGCAAGCAGCAGTCGGATGTCTTTGACGCCGTGCTGGTGTGCACCGGGCACCACACCGACGCGCACCTCCCGCTGCACACCTTCCCCGGTACGCCCCGCACCCCTCGCTGTGAAAAAAAAGCCCCCAAAAAGCCGTGCTGTGGCTGTGCCTGCTCTCCTCGCTGCTTTTTCTCCCAGTTCCATGGGTTTTCCTGCGTGGTTTGGCCCTGGGGTGGGTCTGGCAGAGCCAGGGAAGGCTCCCCGGGGTCACAGCACGGATCCTGCTTCGTTTTGGGGGGGCCTCCAGCCCGGCACATTATCCCTCCTCCCTCCCCACAGGCATCGAGAAGTTCAAGGGCAGCTACCTGCACAGCCGCGACTACAAGGACGCCCAGGACTACAACGACAAGAGGGTCGTTGTCATTGGGATCGGGAACTCGGGCTCGGACCTGGCTGTGGAGATCAGCCAGAAGGCCAAGCAGGTGAGCAGCAGCAGTGGGGTCCCCTGGTGGCACCATCCCCAGGTGGGACACCGCAGGCTTGGGACCACCACCTCCACGAGGACACCCATTTTTGGGGGGGTCTTTGGTGTCCCCACCACCGCCACAGCTCTCAGGAGGTGACTTTCCTGTTCGCCCAGGTCTTCCTCAGCACCCGCCGCGGCGCGTGGATCTTCAACCGCGTTGGGCAGCAGGGCTACCCCATCGACATCGTCTTCACCACCCGCCTGAAGGCGCTGATGCAGCAGCTGCTCACCTCCTCCATGGCGAGCAGCTTCACGGAGCGGCAGCTCAACATGAGGTTCGACCACGCGCACTACGGCCTGAAGCCAAAGCACAGGTGACAAGGGATGCACCCTCCAATGCCACCCCTGGGGACGAGCACCCCTGGGGCAGGACACCGCAGCTTCTCCCCACCCCGCTGCCCTGACGGCTCCTCCTGTGTCCTCCAGGGTCTTCGACCAGCACCCGACCGTCAACGACGACCTGCCCAACCGCATCATTTCGGGCAGGGTGCGGGTGAAGCCCAACGTCCGGGAGTTCACGGAGACATCTGCCATCTTCGAGGACGGCACCAGGGAAGACATCGACGCCGTGGTCTTTGCCACGGGGTACAGCTTCTCCTTCCCCTTCCTCGAGGAGTGCGTGAAGGTGGTGGAGAACCAGGTCTCCCTCTACAAATACGTCTTCCCCGTCGACCTGGAGAAGCCAACGCTGGCTTTCATCGGCTTCATCCAGCCCCTGGGAGCCATCATGCCCATCTCAGAGCTCCAGTGTCGCTGGGCCACCCGCGTCTTCAAGGGTAAGCGAGGCAAAATTCCCCCGGAGCCTGCAGCCCCACAGCTGGGGCAGACGGTGCCCAGCTGTGTCTGGGAGGCAGCAGCCAGCCGTGCCTTTGCTCGTGCAGCCCCCTGAGCTGTGCCTCTTCCCCCCAGGGCTGAGCACGCTGCCGCCGAGGTGCACCATGGAGGCTGACATCAAGCACAAGAAAGAAGAGATGGCCAAGCGGTAAGACCCCGCCAGGAACCAGCTGGGACGAGGCAGGGGCAACCGCGGGCTAGCGGGGGCTGCCGGTGGGCTCCCGTGGCTACGTGCCACCAGAGACGTGGCTCCAAGCCTCCCTCCCTGCCCGCAGGTACGTGGCGAGCCGGCGGCACACCATCCAGGTGGATTACATCCCCTACATGGACGAGCTGGCCTGCCAGCTGGGCGTCAAGCCCAACCTGCCCCTGCTCTTCCTCACCGACCCCCCGCTGGCGCTGGAGGTGCTGCTGGGGCCCTGCACCCCCTACCAGTACCGCCTGCGGGGCCCGGGAGCCTGGCGGGGTGCCCGTGCCGCCATCCTGACCCAGCGGCAGCGCGTCCTCCAGCCCCTGCAGACGCGGCACGTGGAGGAGAACAGCTCAGCCTCGGTCCTGCCGCTCCTTCCGCAAGCTGGCCGTGGCCGTGGCCGTCTTCGCCATCATCTTCCTCCTCCTCTAGGCCCCCGCTCGCTGCCTGGTGGGGTTGGCAAGGCCAGGAGGGGGCTGTGTGACCCCACAGCAGCCGTGCCCCCCGTGCCCGGAGGGCAATCCGCTTGCTGGCACAGGCCCTGAGCAGCAAAGCTGAGCCTCCCAGATGTGGCAGCCCCAAATAATGCCCCGCGGCTGCAGCGGGATGGGGGAAAAACCCTGCCCTTGTGTAGGGAAAACCCCACCCTGCTCAGGCACTGCTGGCACCCAGCGGGGACTTGCCGGGCTGTTCTGTCACCTGCATACCCAAGGGACCTCCTCCGATGCTGATATCTTCACGGCGAAGGCACGGTGAATTTTCTAACTGGATTAAAGTGTCTTAAACAGAGCCAGGAACCTGTCCTGTTATTCACATCCCCCTGTATATCCATGGCAAAGCAGCCACAGATCTGTCCCACCCTGTCACACACAGCCCCATGGGGACACGGGTTGGGGACCTGGCACAGCACCGGCTGCCCCGGCCACCACACACCGAGCCTGGCAGCCGTGCCCGGAGCATCCCCCCCCAATCTCGTTTTCCACCCGGTGACTTGCCAAAATTTGGAGCGGGGCCACGGCTCAGCCCCCACACCCAGGAAATTCCTGGGGGTGGCTCCGAGGTGGTTAAGCGCTTACCCAAGATAATGACCCCTTTGCGGCGGGAGGGAGGGCGGGTGGGAGGTGTGGCGCGACGCTGTGGGAACCTGTGGGAACCTGTAGATCACGTCTGGAGGAAACCTCTCGCAATGCCCCCGCTGCCCTCGGCCACCCCTGCTGGGAAGCACCGGGACGCCTGGTGCTGCCCGAGCGGCCCCGCACGCCTCCTGTGCCCCCCGCCAGCCTTTCCTTGCTGCCACCGCCGGCCATGGCTGCCCAGAGAGTGGCCATCATCGGTGCCGGCGCCTCGGGCCTGTGCGCCCTGAAATGCTGCCTGGACGAGGGGCTGGAGCCCACCTGCTTCGAGAGGAGCGGGGACATCGGGGGGCTGTGGCGCTTCCAGGTAAGCCCCACACCGTGCCGGGCTGCCCAAGGACCCACGGCTGGGACCAGCCCTCACCCCAGGGCTCGCTGCTCTGCCTTCACTCTTCCCATCTCCTCCCTTCCCCGCTGGCTTCTCTCCCACCCTTCCCTTCCCCCGTGCCCACCCCGCAGCTCCCCAGCTGCCCTGCTGCTGGTGGCATCCCTTCCCTACCTGTCCCCGTCCCCTCCTGCCCAGCCCGGCCATGGCAGCCCGGGCTGCTCCTCTCCCTGCTCCTCCGCCTCTCCCACGCACCGGCACCAGGCGCTGCCTGCCCGGGGGAACCCCCAGATTTGTTCCTGCCCCCGCCGAGCGCTGCTGCTGCCTCTTTTCACCGGGACCCCCGCCAACCAGGCGTGCCGCGCTGCCCTGCCCTGCCCTGCCACGAGCACGGGAGCCTGGGGCACGCTGCACGGCACCAGCCCGCGATTTGGGGCTGCTTGGCTACAACAACGCTGCTGCTTTTGCCCGTGGTGGGTGCAGGAACGGTGATGGAGCAGAGCCAAGGCAGAGACACTGAGAGCAGGAACAGCCACTGAGCTGCCACCAGCACCCTGTGGGGCTCGTGGGGCAGCGGCACCACGGGGGGCTTTGGGAACCCCTCAAATCTCCCCCTGGCTGGCGCTGAGACGTGCCCCGTGCCCGCAGGAGCAGCCCGAGGAGGGCCGCGCCAGCATCTACCGCTCCGTCATCATCAACACCTCCAAGGAGATGATGTGCTTCAGCGACTTCCCCATCCCCGACGACTTCCCCAACTACATGCACCACTCCAAGATCATGGAGTACTTCCGCATGTACGCCCGGCGCTTCGACCTGCTGCGGCACGTCCGCTTTGGGGTGAGAGACGGGGACCTTGGGGGGGGACACAGGGGTCAGGGGGCTGCAAAACGCTGACACCCGCTCCCCCCTGCCCAGACCAGCGTGTGCCGCGTGTCCAAGAGCCCCGATTTCGCCACCACGGGCCGCTGGGAGGTGGTGACCGAGAGCGAGGGCAAGCAGCAGTCGGATGTCTTTGACGCCGTGCTGGTGTGCACCGGGCACCACACCGACGCGCACCTCCCGCTGCACGCCTTCCCCGGTATGCCCCCCACGCCCCTGCCACCAGGTGCTTACCTCTCCTGAAGCCACCCGCACCCGGCACGGCTTTGCTCTTTTCTTGCAGGGCTGGAGAGTTTTGAGGGCTGGTACTTGCACAGCCGGGACTACAAGAGCCCGCGGGCCTTCACGGGGAAGCAGGTCGTGGTGGTCGGCACCGGGAATTCGGGCATCGATATCGCGGTGGAGCTGAGCCACACGGCCAAGCAGGTGAGCTGCGGAGCCAGCCAGGCTCGACACTCTCCTGCTCCTCTTTGCTCCCAGCCTGATTTTATTCCCAGCCCAAGCAATCTGTCTGAGTTTGGACCGGCAACAAGCTTCAGATGAGATGTCCCCTCTCCCTCACTGGGGTGTTTATTGAAAGAGCGATCCCATTCCAGGGGGCACCAAACAGTATCTGCCCTCCCCCCAGCACTGCACCCATCCAAAGCGCCTCATCCCCTCTCAATCCACCCAAGGGGCACAGTGGGGTCAAAGAGTACCTGAATGGGACCGCAGTGGGACGTGGCTCGACACCGCTGCCTCCTTTCTCCTTCCTCCCAGGTCTTCCTCAGCACCAAGCGCGGGGCCTGGGTGATGCACCGGGTGGCAGAAGGTGGCTACCCCTTCGACTTCTCCTACCTCAGCCGCTTCATCCAGATCATCCGGAGCCTGCTGCCCCTCTCCGTGAGCAACTTTGTGCTAGAGAGGAAGCTCAACGCCCGCTTTGACCACTCGCTCTACGGCCTGCAGCCCCAGCACCGGTGAGCACCCAGGCAGTGCCGCGGGGACCTGCTGGTGTCCCCAGCCTGGCCCCACGAGCTCTGTTTGTGTCCTCCAGGGCCCTCAGTCAGCATGCGACCATCAACGACGACCTGCCCAACCGCATCATTTCGGGCAGGGTGCGGGTGAAGCCCAACATCCAGGAGTTCACGGAGACATCTGCCATCTTCGAGGACGGCACCAGGGAAGACATTGACGCCGTGGTCTTTGCCACGGGGTACAGCTTCTCCTTCCCCTTCCTCGAGGAGTGCGTGAAGGTGGTGGAGAACCAGGCCCCTCTCTACAAATTCATGTTCCCTGTCGACCTGGAGAAGCCCACGCTGGCTTTCATCGGCTTCATCCAGCCCCTGGGAGCCATCATGCCCATCTCAGAGCTCCAGTGTCGCTGGGCCACCCACATCTTCAAGGGTAAGTGAGGTGGGTGGAAGATGCAGCCAGGTGCAAAGCCAAGTCATTCAGCTGGTGGCACCTCCTCCTCCTTTTGTTCTCTCCTGTGTAGGAACAAAAACCAACGCTGCATTTCACAACAAGCCTTGCACTTTTTAACCTTGCGGGGTCAGTAACAGGTCTCCTTGCCTGCAGCCTACTTTCTCCCTTATCTTTCTTTGCAAATGCCTCCCTCTTGCTCCCTGCTTGGTGGCAAAGCATGAGCAGAGGCCACGCTGGGTACAGAGGCCCATCTCTCCCTCCTTCTTCTCCTTCCCCAGGGCTGCAGGAGCTGCCACCAACCAGCACCATGCTGGCCGACATTGCGCAAACCAAGCAGAAGATGGCCGAGCGGTAAGGACCCCACAAAGCATTCCCCCTGCCGTCACCCCCACCCGGTGCCCACACACCGAGCCTCCCTCCCTGCCCGCAGGTACGTGGCGAGCCGGCGGCACACCATCCAGGTGGATTACATCCCCTACATGGACGAGCTGGCCTGCCAGCTGGGCGTCAAGCCCAACCTGCCCCTGCTCTTCCTCACCGACCCCCCGCTGGCGCTGGAGGTGCTGCTGGGGCCCTGCACCCCCTACCAGTACCGCCTGCGGGGCCCGGGAGCCTGGCGGGGTGCCCGTGCCGCCATCCTGACCCAGCGGCAGCGCGTCCTCCAGCCCCTGTGCGGCGCGGCCGGGCGTATGGGGCCGCGCTCCAGCTCGGTGCCGCACCTCCTCAAGGTGTGCTTCAGCATCGGGCTGATCGCCGCCACGCTCGTCTACGTCTTGCTCTCGTCTTAGCCCGAAAGGAAGGGGAACGGGGGTCCTGAACACCTGGTGTTGTTGGTCATATAGCTGTGTGGCTGTATGGTCATATGGCTATATGGTTGTATAGCTGTATGGTCTGAAATTTTGGGTACACCCCTGTGGCGCCAGGAGTTGGACTCCATGACCCCTGTAGGTCCTTTCCAATTCAGAATATTCTCTGATTTTACGATTCTGTGTTTTTATTCCTCACTTTGGGTTTTGCTGGTGGGGGGGGGACGCTTTGGGGACAGGTCTCACACCCCCACACCTCCCAGCACCACTACGGGCTGCAGAGGCCGGGACACCAACAACCCAAACCCCAAAAAAAGAGGCAATAAAGGCCTCTCCCGGTGCCCCGGGGCTGAAGGACCAGGCTCTGCCCCTCCTTCGTCCCCACACCCCCGCCACCGCCATGGCGGGCTGCCCACAGCAAAGATGGCGGCGCCCGGCCGGCCCGCCGTGAAGCCGCGCCGCCCTCACCCAAAATGGAGGCGGGGCAGAGCGCCCCGCAGAGGCCGGCGGTGGCGGCCGCCATTTTGAGCGGAGGCGGAGAGGCGGCGGCGGCGGCGTTGGGGGCAGGTGGGGCCGCGGCCGGGGGCTGCAGGGGGCTGGGGGGGCTGCCGGGGGGACGGGGACAGGGACGGGGACAGGGACGGGGTGGCGGCTGGGCGGCACGGAGGGTGCCCGGTGGGGGCTGTGGCAGCGCTCCGTGCCCCCCGCTGTCACCGGAGCCCCCCCGGTGTCGCTGCTCGGGGGCTGTGCCCTCATGGGGGACCCCAAAGCCCACCCAGCTCCAACCCCTGTCATGGGCAGGGACCCCTCCCACCAGCCCAGGCTGCCCCCAGCCCCATCCAGCCCTCAGGGCTGGGGCACCCGCAGCCCCTCTGGCAGCCTGTGGCAGCGCCCCACCGCCCTTATAATGAAGGATTTCCTCCTAACCCCTAAGCTAAACCTCCCCTCTTTTAGTTTAAAGCCATCCCCCCTCGCCCCGCCGTTATCCCGTTGAGCAACGAGCTGCTCCCCATCGCTTTTAACCCTCAGGGCCTGACAGGTTCGCTGGGGTGCTGCTGCGGAGGTTTGCTTGGGCTGTGGTGTCAGCAGCATTTAGGGTGCCTGGTCTGTAGGGACAGCCAAAGGGAGGGGATTCCTCGTAGAGAAGAGAAAGGGGAGCTTTGAGAAAGCCTGCTCGGGTCTGTTTCCATACAAGAGGTTCAGCCCTTCCCCCGTGCCTCGCAGCCCAGCAGTGAGGGAGCCGTAGCAGAGGTGCTGGGGGAAAAACCTCTGAACCCCCCCCCGCAGCCACATAGGGACGGGTTGTGGGGGGAGCTGCACAAACCTCTGGGCAAACCTCCTCTGGGGCAGAGGGGGAAGGTGTCGGGGTGTGTGGTGCTCCTCTCCCAGCCTGAGCACTCTTGGTCCTCACTGCAGGAGGGTAGGCGTGTGGGTTAGCTGTCCTCCAGCCTTTGGGATTTAAGAAATACTTCAGTAATTGCTCCGTAATGGGCTAAAGGCTGGCTTTGGCTGGCAGCCTCGCCTGGCACCCTGCGTATAACTCGATCTCCTAAACAAAGCCCCAGATGTTGCAGCTAAGCAGGTGAAGCAAGGCTGGCCGTCCTCCCGCCTTGCTCTGCGGAGCTGCAAAATAAAGCTGGGAAGGGGCTGAGAACCCCAACCCCTCCCAGCTGCCGAAAACCTGAGCCTGGAGACTCCCTCATAACCCTAATGGCTCTGGTGCTTGTCCCAGGAGGTACGTGGCCAGCTGGGCCTGCATTGCCTTCTCCAGGCTGGGCGAGATGGGGATGAGGGTGCCGGGGCGGCTGGACGTGCCCGTCCCACCCGCTGTGGGACCTGTGGCAGCCTGAACAAGACGTGAACGAGACACAAACACCATCAGAGCTGAGCTTCCTGCGGGCACCACAGCAATAGCCCCTTGCCTTGGCCGAGCTCCAGCTTGGGCGATTCCACTCGGGCGCTGTAAGCACTCCCTGCTGCTCCTGCCAGGCTCCAGGCTCTGCTCTTCTGCCCGCGAGCTCTTGGAGACGCGCTGGGAGCTGTTACACAGCTGCTACTTTCACTCTCAGGCTGTTTTCTTGCTGGACGTAGCATTTTTTTTCTGGAGAGCCCGACTGTGAGGCTGTGAAAGACGCTCTGTTAGCACCAAGCAACCCATCTGCCAGTAAAGGTTGGCTTTATTTTTCCCGTCTGTGCCCTGCTGCCTCGCGAGGGCTTGTGTAAGACGCGGCACGACTCATATCTGCCTCAGAACATAGCAATTAGCAGCGCAACTATCATGATGGTTCATAAGGATAGGGCTATAATTAGGTCAAGCTGTCTTGTTTGTTAAACTCCCCTCCAGCTCCCAAACTTGGCACTGGGGATGAACTTTGGGCCTTTTTTAGGCTTGCTGTCAGTCTGCCCTGGCCGAGGGCGCTGGGAAGCAGTGCTCTCGCTCCTCTCCTCGCTGCAGGAGCCCGCGGGCAGAGGCACGCTGCCCTCCTCTTCCTCCCCCAGGGGCTGCTGAGCTGCCATGGGCAACACCACCAGCGAGAGAGTGTCCGGGGAGCGCCATGGCTCCAAGTCCCACCGCTCCGACGGCTCCAGCACGCCCCACGCCGCCAAGGAGCACCCGCACAAGATCATGGTGGGCAGCACCGACGACCCCAGCGTGTTCAGCTCCCACGACTCCAAGGTAGGGGACGTTTGGGATCCTGGCTGGTGCTTCAGCTTGTCCCAGAGCCCTGTGCTGGGCTCAGGCTGTTTGCGTGGAGAGGGATTTTAGCGAGTGAAGTGAGGGGAAAGTGAGCGTGGACCCCGTTGTCTCCATGTCTCAGCCAGGCTCTGGTGTTCTTTGTCAGATCCCCGGGGACAAGGAGTTTGTGTCGTGGCAGCCGGATCTGGAGGAGTCGGTGAAACCATCCCAACAGGCTCGCCCCACTGTCATCCGCTGGGCTGACGGGGGCAAAGAGGTCTTCATCTCTGGGTCCTTCAACAACTGGAGCACCAAGATCCCGCTCATCAAGAGGTGGGCAGCCCCTCGGGTCACCCTGCGCTCTCCTCTCGGTGCCGGGCGCTGTTCCTCTCGCTCACCTGGCTTTTCTCGGCTCAGAATGCCTGAGCTGGAGGTCACCAACACACGGCCAGCTTCTCCCCGGGGTGGTGCTGCCATGGTGGTAGGAAGTTGTGAAACAGCGGGATGGGACAGGATGGGCCGCTTTGTTTTCCCAGCTGGATGCCACACAGCTGCAGCCCTGGCCCCAGAGCCCTGCCCAGGTGTGCTGCAGTTCCCTGGGAGCTCTCCCCTGGGCTGTGGCCTTACTCCATGCCTAGCGGGGGCTGTAGAGTCGTCCCTCACACATCTCCCTGCCATCGTGATTTTCTTGTTGCTCTGCAAAACATCTCTGTTTTTCCTGGAAACGCTGTGTAGGACTCCAGGCACAACCCCAGCAAATATCTAGCATGGGTTTATCTCGATTCAGAGCTGTTGTGCTTCCTGCTCTCATCCTGCAGTGCCAGCACAAGTTTAGATGTGTTGTCCACACAGCCTTGCACGCAGCGTCTGACACAACGACTTCCCTGGGCACACGGGGCAGGGCTGCAAGCTGAACTCCTGTGCTCCTTGCAGCCGGGCTCCTAGGGGTTTGGGTCGTGCTGGGGCTCTGAGCGTGCTCATTTTTGGGACCCCACGGAAGGGCAGCGTCCAGAGCATCACCGGGGTGGTGGTGTGCCACGTCTCTTCTCTCTGCACAGCCACAACGACTTCGTCGCTATCCTGGACCTCCCGGAAGGAGAGCACCAGTACAAATTCTTTGTGGACGGCCAGTGGGTGCATGACCCATCCGAGGTAACTCGCAAAGCTTTATCCCTGCAGATCTTGCCCTGGGCAGGGAATTAGGAATGATGTGACCTGCAGCAGAGGGAGAGTAGGAAGAGCAGAGGATATCCACCAGAATAAAAGGAGAGCTCCATCCCATAAATCCTTTCAGAGGCTGGTTCCTCTGGGTTTGGACATGCTGTATGGGAAGGTACTGGGTGCCAGTGAGACCCCAGAAAGCTTTAAAGGCCCATCTGGAGTCAGCTACATGGAAGGACAAGCCACAGGTCAGCATTCACTTGCAGGTTCTCATCCAACCTGACTCACAAAGGATCAGGGAAGGAGAGAACACTTGCCCATCAGCATGTAGCAGGAAGGAGAATGAAAGCAGGAGGTGATGCAGGAGCCTGGGAGCAAAGGGAAATCCTCCCAGGATATAATCAGCAGAGATCTGCAAGCGCAGAGTAGAGCTAGACTTGTGCCACCTGTGCTCTGAGATAATGGCACAGCAAAGGCAGCGTGGGCTGGGAGGGTCTGTGTGCGCTTCAGCTGAGGGTAACGCAGGAAGACTCTTACCTCTGCTCTCTCCAGCCTGTGGTCACCAGCCAGATGGGGACAATCAACAACCTGATTCACGTCAAGAAGTCTGACTTCGAGGTGTTCGATGCTTTGAAGGTGGATTCCCTGGAGAGCTCAGAAACCTCAGGTCGGGGTGAGTTTTTTCTGGCGTTGCGGCTTTGCATGCGCTATTCTCCACCTCCTGCTCTGAGACTTGCTGCTCAGGGGGGGTGAACGGACCCCCTGAGCAGAGGCGTAGGCCTGGAGAGATTCGGGTTTGGCAGCCTGTCCTGCCCATGTCCTCAGCAGCCCGCAGCCACTGCCTCGTCTCCACGAGGGGCTGTGCTGCTGTAACTTGCTCTGTGCTAGCGCCGTCCCAGGGCAGGGTCGGTGCCCTCCTGCGGCTGCCATTTCAGACTGGTGAGCGCCGGGACCATCACCCCTTTCTGTCCGCTCGGCTGTGAGTAAGTCATCCGACCCGTGGCAGCAGCTAGGTGAGAGCAGCAGCCGGGTTATTTTCAGCAGCTGCCCCTGGTTTTCACGCCAGGGCGATTTGTACTGTTGCTGGCACGTCGCAAACCTTCCTCCACTCGTCTTACAGCAGCAGGTTGGGTTACTGCGCGGGCAGTGCTGGCAGGGAGCTCAGGCATAAACCCCATCTCAGGGGCAGCCCCAGCCTGAAGAGAAGCCCGCAAGCAGCAGCAGCTCCGAGGAGGTGGAGCCCTTCAGGGTGCTGGCTGTCCCCAAACGACGGGGTTGGATGTGGCTGGGAGATGCGGCTCATCCCGCTTCCAGTGCCAGCGAGCTCCTGCGGTCCCTCGCACAGGCTGCACAGCTCCGAAACCAGCAATTCCCATCCTGGGACCTCCCCGTCAGGCAGTTGTGCAGCACCAGCGAGCTGTGCCTGCTGCAAAGGGTGCTGCTTGGGGGCTGGCCAGCTGCTTGGCCCGGGGACAAAGACCCTGCAGGGGTCTTGTGGGGGTCTCAGAGTGGATACCGCAGGCTGCCTGTGTTGTGTCAGTGCATGTGCCAGCCTTGGAAATGCCCAGGGCTTGCCTGGTTGCCTATTGTGCTGTGAGAAGTCTGGTCTGTTGCTATAGGATGTGTGGCTAAGGGGAAACTAATGCCTGAAGACCCCTTTGAAACAGAACAAGCCACCTGCTCCCTAGCTGCTGTGGCTTCAAGTTGTGAGATGTGACAAGCCTGCACTGCTGTCCCACTGCATGCTAACCCATCTGCCCAGGCTGGGCTCATGGAAGACATTAATGCCTGAAAGACCTTCTTGGATGCTGCTCTGAGCTTGTCAGTCCTGCTTTATCTGTCTCCTGTCTCTTCCCTTTAGACTTATCGAGTTCACCACCCGGCCCGTACGGCCAAGAGATGTACGTGTACCGGCCCGAGGAGCGCTTCAAATCGCCCCCCATCCTCCCGCCTCACCTCCTCCAGGTCATCCTCAACAAGGACACCAACATCTCGGTGGGTACCAGCACGCTGCCTGCATACAGATAACGTCACCTTTTCCTATTCACCGCTCTGGTTTGGCCCCTTGCTCTGCCTGGCACTCAGCTGGGCCATGTTCACGATCAGAATCAGCCACCCAGCAGCTCAGGTTGCCCGAGGTGGCAGCTCCTTGCTCCCCGTGATGGCTGGGGTGTTCGGGGCTCTGCTGTTCCCTCCTGACACTCCTCTTGTCCTAGTGTGACCCAGCCCTGCTGCCCGAACCCAACCACGTCATGCTCAACCACCTCTACGCGCTCTCCATCAAGGTAAGGGCAGACCCTTGGGTGAGGAAAGGGGAGCAGCTGCGGCTCCCAGGAGCTGGGACCTGGGTGGAGACGGTGGCAGGGGGTTGAAAGACCCACGCAAGGAGCTCTCAGCTCCCTGGCAAAACGTAGCACACGCAGGGGTGTAGGTTGTGGCCTTACAGCCCCAAAATTCCCTGTAGCTGCCTTCCCACAGTGCGGCGGGGCTGGGATCTGCACCAGACCCTTCCCTCGCCTTGCCCTGGCTCCTTGTCACGGGGTGGATGCGTTTCACTGGCTGTGGGGCTTGGGACAGCAGGGACCCACTGGGGGGCTCCCCGACCCCACAGAGCAGCGGGAGCCCCTCGCTCACAGCTCTTTTGGGGTGTCCCGCTGCTGGGGTGGTGTGGCCAGGCTGCGTGGAGCCCCCACCTGCTCCAGCTGACGCTGTGCCTCCCGCAGGACGGCGTGATGGTGCTCAGCGCCACGCACCGCTACAAGAAGAAGTACGTCACCACGCTGCTCTACAAGCCCATCTGAGCTGGGGCCTCGCCCGCCCCCCCACGCAGGACACGAAATGCCACTTTGTCTGCACACGCTGGGCCACGGGACTTGTGTGGGGACTGGCCGCCGGCTCCAGCCTCAAACCCGGCGGGGACGCAGAGCCCGAGCCTGCTGGGGCCGGTGCCACTGCCCCATCCTACTGGTGTGGTTTGATTTAAGCCCTGGTTCCCACCCACCTCCAGCTCCCCTTGGCTTCTGTGAGTCCGGGGCTGCTTTGCTGCTCACCAGAACAGCCTTTCCTCGCTCCCGACACGGAAAGGGCTTCACCTTACCCATCTCCTCCAGCCTGCGAGGGGCCTCGAGGCCGTCCTGGCACCATCCTCCGCCCAGGCCAGCAGCACCGCGTCCTCCTGCTGCCCTGGCGAGGAGTCTCCAAGGCCACGCTGCTCGCTGGGGGCCCTGACTGCGGGGCTGCCCCTTCCTCGTGCTCCCCAGCTTCGAGCTCACAGCCCTCCGCCAGGTTCAGCGCTGAGGCAGCAGGAGGGAGGGAGCAGCCAAAACGCAGCCACGCTTCCCTGCTGCCAGGACAGCGCCCCGAAGGACTGAATGCCTGAACGCCCGCCCCGGTGGCACAGCGAGCGGGGCACCTGCGTGTGCCCGTGCTCAAGGGGGGGCCTGGGGAGGAGAGCGGGGCACGGCCGGTGCCCCAGCTGCACCGTCTGCTGCCGAAGCAGTGCCATGTGACAGGGTTTTCTCTATTTATTACAGTATTTATTGGTCTCGGTGCCGCTGGCCTGATGTTGGAGGGGGGATTTGGAGCGGCAAAGCCTCACGTGGCACCCTGCCACAGCATCGCTCATGGGTGCTGGGCTGCTGGCTGTGGGGCAGCCCCTGGGTGGAAGGGAACATCCTACAGGGCACAGAGCTGCCCTGAGGGGGCTCCAGGAGGGGTCAGAGCTGTCCCCCTGGGCACAGCCACCGCCTACAGCCGCTGCAGCCTGGGGGGCTTGGGGAGGAGGGCAGAGCTGCAGGGACAGGCGTGCCAGAATCACCAGGACCCACAGGAAAGCTTTATTGGGGACTCTGAAGCCGCTGGACAGAACACGACATTTCTTACATCTTCCTCCCGCGCCAGGGCCCCGGCACGCCCGGGGAGCCCCTGAGACGCAGCTCCGATATCCGTACCTGGACCTGTCTCTATATACAAACAGCCACAAGCAGGGGCAGCGTGCAGCAGGGGTACGGGTGGGACCGAGTCCCAGGGCCAGAGGTGCTCGGCTCGGAGGGCCGTGACACCCCATGGGTGGGAGGGAGCACACGCAGAAGCGTGGGGCAGGCAAAGCCCAAGCCAGCAGCTGCTGCTGCGATGCCAAGCGAAGGCAAACGGAGGGAAAGCAACGCCTGGCGCTGCCCCAAACCCACTGTGCAGTGCCTGGTTTTGGGGCAGCGCCGGGCACCTCCCAGCCCTGTCTGCTCCAGCCCTTGGAGGCGGCACGGCTCGGTGGCTGGCGGGCCGTGGGGTGGCCGGGGACATCGCTCCCACCCCGCCTGGGGCTCACGCGACGGGCAGGGCCTGCTGGGCCTTCACCTGGCGAGGGAACACACGTGGTGAGTGCTCAGCTGGCCAGCAGAGTAATGGGGCTCTTGTGGGACAGGGACGCAGAGGGTGCGGACAGCCAAGAGTCCCACATCCACGCCCGTCCCCAGGGCGAGGGCACCCCGCTTTGTCCTGGCGGCCAGGGCAGACTTACCTCCAGGTTGGTCCTGGCCTTGCGCAGCACGCCGTGAGTCCTGGTCACTGCCAGGGAGAAGGGGACAGGGTCAGTGAGGTCCCCATGCCACAGAGCGGCCCCATAAAGCAGGAACGGGGCCAGCTTGGCCGTGCCACCTACGCTGGCTGACGATGAACTGCTCCATGCTGTCCTTGAGCCGGGCCATGCTGCGGAGCCGCTCGGCCGTGCTCTGCAGGGCATCGTCCTTCTCACGGAGCTGGGCACGCAGCGCCGCGATCTCACCCTGCAAAGCCTGCTCCTGGGACGAGATGAGGGCCGTGAGCGGCGCGCGCCCAGCCCCATCCGAGCGCCCAGCACGGTGCTCACCTTGCCCTGGTGCTGGGCAGGGCTGACGGGCAGCACGGTGCTCCAGAAGGTGGTGAGGAGAGAGGCACACTCCTCCAGCACGCGGTGCAGGGTGCTGGCACTGCCCCAAAGCTGTCCTGCGCCCGCATACCCCGGGACCTGTGGGAAAAGGGTGCAGGAGTGGCTGCTGCTGGGGCACCCCCATCCTGCTGCACCCAGCGAGCTGCCGTCCCCAGCCCAACACAGCAGGGAACAGCCCCTGGGGTTGGATCCCCTCCAATATGCTTCAAGCACACTCGTGCCTGCTACAGGGACCCCATGCTGCAAAGATCCTGCCCTAAATGCCCCGCAGTGCCACCTTGCCTGGCTGCCAGCAGCCCGATTTATCCATGGCGCAGACAGAGCCTCCCTCCTCGCTCCAGCCCCATCCTGCCCACGCTTTACCTCCTTTCCCGGGCGCATCACACACGTCAGCTCATGGGCCAGAGCCTTTCCCTCCAGGATGCGCTGCTCCAGGGAGCGGTAGGTGTCCAGGCGGCCCACAACGTGAGCCCCCGTCGGTCCCTCGCTCCTCCTCACCGCTGGGTCTGCCCCGAGCGTCTCTGGGGAGAGCAGAGCGGGGTGAGGACCCCGCAGTCCTCCTCGGGGCTTGGCTTTGCCCTCTCTCCTCAGCAAGGGTGCCACGGGTTTCTCGGTCTCAGCAGCGGTACCTACCATCCACCTGCACTGATGTCTTAGAGGGTGGCGGGGAGAAAGCTGCTGAGCTGGTGCCAACATCCCGCACCGGAGGGGATGGGAAGCAGCCTGGAACAAGAAGCAACAGACTGGGGCTCCCTGCCCGGGGCTGCTGGGGGCCTTCCCTCCCTCCTTGCTGCCAGCGGGGCCACCGTGACCCTCCTGCTGCCGTGACAGGGCTGGGACAGGCACCCCAAGCTGGGTGAGCTGTGCACGGGCCCTGTACCTGCACGGGGCTCGGCAGCGGGCCCAGGAAGGCTCTGGTAGACGTGCAGCTCCGTGCGCAGGGCCTGCAGGAGCAGGCGGTGCTCATCACCCTGCTGCTGCAGGAGCGTCACCGTGTGCTGCAGCCTGCAGAAAGGTGCCACGTGGGTCTGGAGCCACCCGCACGCCGCCCAGCCCCGCCGGCCCCAAACCTTACCTGTTGTTGTCCTCCTGCAGAGCCAGCCGCTCGTCCCGCAGCTGCCGGATGCTCTCCTGGTGCTTGCTGAGCTCCTCCGCCAGCCTGCGCTGCTCCCCGCGCCTCTGGCCCAGCTCTGCTTCAGCCTCCCGCACCCGGGAGCAGGCGGCCAGGAGCGCCTCCTGCACCCGTGCCAGCTCTGGGGACACGGAGCACACGGGGACGTCACCAACACCCCACTCAGCGAGCGGGGTGACCCCACAGGGACTCAGACCCCGAGGGGTTTGTCCCGGCCCTACCTCGGGAGAGGCGGTCGCACTGCAGCCTCAGGCTCTGGTTGTCCTCGCGCAGCGCCCGGTTCTCCCCGCTCAGCTGCAGCCCCAGCTCCGGCCCCTGGGCGAACACATCGCCGGGCAAACCTGCAACGGGGGACGGGTGCTGAGCCCCTCTCCGCAGCACCACGCCACGCAGGGGCCGAGGGCTTTTCCCCGTGCAATGGGGGCGTGCAAAGCCTGCCACCAGTCCCCCAGCTGGCCCCGCACCGCTGGCCTTGCCGGTAGAGGCCAGGCGGCGCTCCAGCTGCTCCCGGAGCCGGTCGTTGGTGCAGATGGACTCCTCCAGGCGCTGGCGCAGGCTGCGGATCTCCAGCAAGTGCTCCTCCAGCAGGTCTGCCCCTGACACAGCCAGGGAGACGTCTCAGGGCAGGGATGGCCGCGCCGCCTGCCCCGTGCCAACCCCACAGCCCTCCTGGGGCTGCGTCTCCTCCCTTTTCCACCCGGGATGCCCCCAAGGAGCGTACCTGTTAGCTTCTGGCTGGATGGGTACCCTGAAGGCAGCGCCCCGTTAAGTGGCAGGCCAGGAGCGGGCACATCCCAGGGGACACGGGTGTCGCTGGCTCCGGGCGCCTTGGCCAGGCTCTGCAGGGCGCCGTGCTGGCAGAGCTGTGCTGCGGGTTTGCCGCCCTCTCCGAAGGGTCCCAGCGAGGCTGTGGGCTTGGCTGTTGGCACGGGGAGAGTCACACCTGCACACACACGGGGCAAAAGGGTGAGGAGGAGGAGAGCAGTGAGGAAGAACAGGTAACAAACCCTCTTGCCACAGCCTTCTTGCCATGCTCAGCCATGCAGCCCGCTGTCCCCGTCCCCTGCCCCACTGCCTGTGTCCTACTCTGCTCAAACCCGTTCACCCCAAAGAGCAGAGGTTCTCCCGGCATGCACTGATTACATGAATTGAGTTGTGGGGTCTCAGCTCTGCCCCTACACAACACCTAACCACACCAACCCTCCCCCGTGGTGCCCAGGCACCCACACCACTTGCCAGTGCTGCCTCAGGCTGTGCCCATCCCACCCACCCCACCCCTCGTGCAGGAGAGCCACGTCCCTGTCATCCCTTAACCAAAATATTGGGATCTGGCCTCAAAGCAGTGGCCCCAGGGAGCAGGAGAAGGACCAGGGCAGGGCAGAGGGGGTCGGGGGGCGGTGGGCATGCAGCACGCAGGGCAGGCAGCACCAACCCTGTGCAGGAGGCAGGCGCTCCCTTTCTCCCAGCTGCCTCCGGAGCACCTGCAGCTCCTGCTGCGCCTCGGCCAGGGAGCAGGCGGGGGCCCCGCAGCAGCCCAGCAGCGCGGGGGCTGCGGGCGGGGGGAGCCCCGTGGGCAGGAACGGGGACAGCCCCGGGGTCAGTGCAGGCAGGGGGGCACTAACGGGTTTGGACAAGGAGTCAAAGTGAAGGACCTAGAGACAGGAGAGAGAGGGAAAGAGGTGTTAACGCAGCTCTGGCTCAGTTTTTGGGGGTCCTGTCCTCCCCGAGGTGCTGAGCCACACGGGTGTCCACCGCAGCAAGGGATCTGGGTGCTGCACGTCCCCAGCCCGTGGTCGTGGCCCCCCAGTGGTACCTGTGAGCCGGGCGGGCTCCTCGTGGCACTGGCTGCACTCGCTGGCTGCGTCCCCGTCGGAGCAGGGCTCCAGCGCGTCGGACACGAAGGAGGCGCTGGTGGCAGAGCGGGACGACTCGGAGGGCGGGCGGCTGCTGCCCGGGGACTCGCAGCGCTCCTGCAGCTTCGCCTCCAGGCTCTCGATCACCTTCTCCTTCTCCTGGAGCTCCCGGCTGAGCCTGTGGGGACGGGGCATCGCTGGGGCTGTGCTCGCTCCAGCATGACACCCCGACTTCCCACCCGTGCTGCGTGGGGTGCCAAACCCACAGAGGGAGCAGAGGCAGCCCCAGGATGCCCACCCGGAGCACCCTGGAACCCCTGAGAGCAGTGACAGAGCAGCCCAGGGTGCTCCTGCAGAGCAGCAGGTCCCCCCAGAGCTCCCTAGCAGCAGGTACCTCAGTGCCAGGAGCTCGTGGCTGGTTTTATCCTCCCCATCCTGTCGATCTCCTGAAAAAAAACAAGCCAGGTATGAGCCGGTCAGCGTCCCCATACCCCAGGCTGCCTGTACCCTAAACAGAAACCACACAGGACATTCCAGCTTGGAGCAGATGACCGATATAGCACAGGGTGTCCAAACAGTCCCAGCCCTTCACAGCACCCATTAAAGCATCCCTTTCCACCCCAGCACGCCCCATTACACCC